ACTATTTCATGTTCATTGTGGTGCTTGTGCTAATGGTTTTCACCCACAGAGAGAAAATGAGATGACGTGAGATTACATTTTAATTGACATGTTAATGAAAGTGCAGAGCCCCCATCTTGTGAGGAGCATATGCTGCTCACAGACCGTGTCCAAGAATGAAGTGGGACGTCAGTTACAGCTTAATAGGGAGGAGAAAACAACAGATTGTTAAAGCTCTTTCAGTTTTAGTAAGTCCAGGATGACCTGCGTGCTGTCACTGCAGAACAGGTTCTGAACCCGAGCTTCTCAGACACTTCTTGTTATTGACCAGACGCCTTCTTGCTCTCAGACTAACAATATATAGGACATATAACCCAACTAACTGCGCCTCAAGGGCAAACGCTCAGACGAGGCAACTGTACTACACACTATGTGGCCGATTCGCAAGGGTGGGGGGGGGGGGGGTGGGGGGGGGGGGGGGGGGGCTGTCAATTATTGATGAGAAATGGCAAATGACCGATTTCGGAGAGACAGAGGAGGGAGAGGAAAAAGGGAGAGGGAGGGGTGGAGTGTGTGTGTGTTGGGGGGGGGGGGGGGGGGGCAGGGGGAGGGAAGGGTGGGTGCAAGGACATGGCTGGAGTCAGACGTGGGCAGCCTGTAGATCGGACCCTCCGCTGTCCTCTGGATGTGACGAGGAAGAGAGAAAGATGCGCCTTCATATGAGGGTGGGACAGAAGGGGAGGAGGGAGGAGGGGTGTAATCGAAGAAGAGGAGGGGGCTGGGGGGGGGGGGGGCAGTGAATTGAGAAAGGGAGAGGGCAGAGGAAGGATGTCCACAGTGGCCGCTTGCTAATCCTAACAGACAGTAATGTGCGTAATGCTGAACTGCGGCTCCGGTTTCCTCAAAAACGCAGAGACAGAAACGCAGAGCCCCCCATTCCATTCCACCTCCCCACTCCTCCCCCACCCTGGATTACTAGTCTCCACCAGGCAGAGTGAGAAATGTCACTGGCACAGACACCTCTGGCCACAAGAGAGGATTTTGAGGTCACGGTGATTGTTCCGGCTGCAGCTATGCGCTCCCCCTGGAGAAGAGTGTGTTCTTCCTCCTCATTCACAGAGTTCCTCCTCGCGCGCTCACACGGGACCTTGTGAGGTCGCCGGTGACATAAAACACAAATCACAAAGAAACTACTTAAGCAGTGCATAAAGCAAATGCGCAGGCCTTGCTTGAGTTGATGGATTGAAGGTGAAAAGGAAGATTAAATACCCACTGAGGCGTGCTAACCCCCCCCCCCCCCCCCCCCCACACACACACCTGCGGTGGGTTGTGAATGCGCGCAGAGTAGGAGCGCAGCGCAATAGTGCAGCTGGAAGAGCCGCAAACTTTTCAGCGCTCTCTGAGACTTTTAATTAAAACCCTCGCTTGAGGAGCATCAGGCAAATATTAATGCAAAATGATGCGTTAAATCCACAAAACAATGACGTGTGTAATTTTCTTAATTTTCTCGCTGGCACGGTTCCCTTTGAAGATTAAAATCATGTTTCGTTTCATCCCTGTGGGGTTCTAATTGGTTTTTTATGCGTTGTTGGCGAGAAGACTTTTTTTTTTTTAATAATGCGCTTATGTCGGGTTCTCCTTGTTAACAAGTTTAGATGAATTAATAGAGCGTGGAATTCATAGCATGAGTCCCAAATTCGTGAAAAAAAAAAAAAAACATCACTCTTGTTGTGACCTTCTTTGCCCTTCCTGCTGCGCAGCAGAAGATAAAAACAAAACTCAGTAACAAGCGAGAGATGGCTGAAAGCGCCTCTGAAAAATGTGTAATCTGAAAATAATCCACCAGGGGGCAGTCAAGCTCCATCAAAAAACGCCTAATAGTCGAGGCGACACACAAAAGGCTGCTAGAGTCATTTATTCTTGACCTCTATGATTTATGAAGGGAAAGTGAACAGAAGCTTTTTGTTTGCAAAGCTGGTTTTAAAAGGCATGTTCTGAATAGAGACGTATTTAGGCAAACAGAGATGTTCTTTGATGAATTAGATATACAGTCATTATTTTACCAGGCTAATTATAGTCATTTTTTGATTAAACCTGACATGTTTTTTAATTCATCTTGCAGCTGAAGCAGCCAAACACAGACTGGACTCTTACAAAGACTCAGAACTCATCTATCAAAAGGTATGACCTTTATTTGTTTATTATGAAACAATAAAGCATTCAAAGAATAATGAATGAAATGATCATACTGTATGAGACATCTTTATTGGATTTGTGGTTACAACATATGCAATTACCCTGTCTGTGTGTAGTTACAACTCCATCAACATGGATGGCACCCTCATGCGTAAGGCCATGCATGCAGACCCAGAGAACTACGTCACCTCCATGGCACCTGGGCAGTACTGGACCTGGGGAAACCACATGAAACGCACAAAAGGTGAGAAGATATGTGGAATAGCAAAATAGGCTGTTTTAATAGTCAATCACAACACAAACATACAGTTTTGGCACTTTTAAGATACTGTTTGACTATTTTATTGTTGACATCTTCACTGGCTGCTTTTAGTTTATAATACTTTGTGAAAAACCTCTAAACCACAAACTGACATGTGCAATATGCAAATGAAAGTAGCTCTGCCATAATAAATTTAGTGTATAATAGGTAGCTGCATATGTCCTCTCCTGATCTCCTCACAGACTTTAAGATGTCTCCTTCACCCAGTGGCCTCACCCCTCGCCCCTGGACTCCTCGCTGCACACCTCCTCCCCAGCAGCAGCAGCCATCGCTTCCCTCCCACCCGCAGCCCCACCCACACCCGCCGCCCGACTACCACCACAACGTCTACATCCCCGGAACACCGTCAGGCTTCTGCACCCTGCGGCCCGCCGTACACCGAAGCGAGCTGGACGTCCACAACTCTTTCTCCACGTTTGGCAAGAAGCGGCGGCTGCAGATGTCCCCCCAGGGGGAGGCTGCAGTGATAAATAATGATCTGTACAATGACTGACTCATCAATGACTGCCTGAAAGGATGATTGAGATGATGGATAAACTCACGAGGAAAGCAGAAGGAGAAACCATTCAGTTCTCAAACTAGTTTGATTTATGAGCGGTTTGAAAATGGAGATGAACAGCAATCTACCGAGGGATAGAAATAATTAATGGACTGTCTCTTTTGGAGATAATGATTATTTATGTGACACGCCACTGCAACATTGTCATTGTGTCTGTTGTTATTGCAGCTGATTACAACATTTATTACAATTACTATTATTTAGACAATCAAACTGGGGTAGCAAATCCATCCAAAATGTTTTAAAGTCATTTTGCACATTCTTATAACTTTATATTTTATTTGTGTGTTTCTTTGCTAACAAAGCTTCTGTAAATATGACAAATATGATGTAAATGTATATGCAAACTGCACTGTGATGCAGACTACTGTAAGGTTGGGGTCTTTCCCCCACACATGTACTGTAAACATTTATTAAATTAAAGTATTTTTTTCACCTGGTGCTTTTTTTTTAAGGCTTCTGAATGTACCGGCTGTGTGACAAAAGTTTGACACAAGCTAATCTTGGAAGTCGAATCATTTAGAATCCACACATCTGAGTTTAATTAGCTGGAGTCAATTATTTTGAGGAGGGAAAAGTTCTCCTGCAAGGGGGGTGGGGGGAAGCTTTTCGCCTTGGTAAGCTGTTTTCTACAGCAAGGAATAAACATAGTAAAATGCTAACATATGCTAATTGGAGCACTTGCATTTCCATTTGCCCGCAGAGGATAGTGGGGTTCATTAACTGAACAAACAGAACCTTCTCTCTCGAAATATCACTTTAATTAAGACCACGGACACGAATACAAGTGTCAGGGGAAGCAAGAGGCTCAACTCCAAATGCCACACCTGAATAAAAGCTATAGGGTCTCCCTTCTCTCTGTGCCCTTTTACATTTCACTTCTTAGGGAATTAGCTTCTACCAGCAACAGATGAGTGTGGACCAGTAGCCAGAAATGAGCAGGAAATTAGGTCGCCCTGTGGCTCGAATTGAAAATAATTTTGTTAATAAGGCAACCAGTGTCCACAGAGAGCAGGGAGGGGAGTGGGGTAACCTTCTCTGCTGTAAGGTGATCCACTGGGACGAGTGGAGGGCAGCCATATTTAGGTCAGCTCTACTTATTTTCAGAACAGAGTTAAGAATGGTGCTCTTAGAGGTTCGTTTATTATTATTAGTATTATTGACAATAAGCTATATTAAAAAAATCTAAATTTTACAAACGTTTATCAGATAATTAGGTCTTAGATACAAATGAGCATCTTTAAACTAAACACACGCGCACATTGGACAGTAAATATAAATCATGAAATGTAATTCTGGAAGTAAATATTGCAGTTTTAACAGCGTGGACTGTCACATCCATTAACCAGTGTTCCTTTCATTAGGAGCTGTCCTGTGGTCGTAGTGCTGAAAGTTCAGCGTCAATGGTCTTCTATTATTTACAGCTGTAATACAGACATGCGTCCACCAGAGGGCGCTTCGCCATACTGCACGCTTCATCTTGGTTTTGAAAACGCACGTTCTAAAAATAATCACTTGTTTTAAGAATGCAACATCCACCCTAACAGCACACATAAAAATATGTAATTTGCATCTATCGGCACTCCTCCCCACTTTAAAATATCTATCTGGCAGCGGTTTTGAGGTGTAAATGATGTCTATAAAACAAATAAATACACAAACTTGCTGAGAATGGTGGCATAGCATCTCAGTTGGTAGAGCTGATGCCTCTGAGTGAGAAGGTCGCAGGATCAAATCCCAGCCTGGGGGCTTTTCTGGATGCAGTTTCCATGTTCTCTCCATGCATGTGTGGGATTTCTCCAGGTACTCCAGTTTCCTTCCACAGACCAAAAACATGCATGTTAGACTGATTGGTAACTCTAAATTGTCCCTAGGTGAGCATGAGAGAGTGAATGGTTGTTTGTCTTTATGTGTCTCTGTGATGGACTGGAGATCTGCCCAGGACGTCCCATGCTTCTCATACAGTGACTACTGGATATGGGCACCTGTGACCCCTAATTCAAAAAAAGGAAGAAGCGGGTAAACATAATGGATGGATGGAACTTGCTGAGGCTCAGGGGTTTTAAGTTTAAAGCCAGGGGCAGATAAATTATTCAGATTCTGTTACTGCATAATAGGAACATTAAGGGAATAAAAAGCAGCCAAGAAAAGTGACAACTCTAGCATTTTTACAACTACTGACCTGCAGTTTAGTTTAGTAGTAGCTGAGACTGATGTCCAACATAAATTAGGAGTTTTAGCTGATTGATTCTAAAATCTTAATTTAAAACTTTGCCAATAATAAATTCATGGCGTCAACGCTGTCTGTTAATGCAACATTTTATGAACCACTCAATCATTTGGAAGAGACTTTCAGAAAATCACTGCTGTACCTCTACAAGTAATAATTTTTCAGTCAAACTTATTCAAGATGGCTGCAACAGAGAAATTATCTTAGAAAACCCATACAACATTATAATTCAGTCAGTTTTTATAGATGTTGTACTAAAACTTGGTTTTGTAGTAGCTAAGGGCCATTTCATAACACATTCTTCAAGTGCTACACATTGTGCAAAATCTTTGCTTCAGACTGACCATTTCAAACATTTCTGACTGTTAGCAAAATATCTGAGGGAAAGTTTTATTAAAAAATATACATTTTTAAACACAAATGACTCAACATATTTTAACTGTACATTTTTATAATTTACATATTTTATATCATAAAATAAAATATATATATATATATATATATATATATATATATATTCATGGTTAATACTAAACTCTAAAAAAATCAAGTGTTTTGTTCATAAATACCACTGACTCTCAGTAAATATACTTTTAATATGAGAACAGCTGTCATTTTCTTGAAACCACGTTAGCAGCAGATTTGTCCACCAGATGGCATCATGGAGTAATAATCATTTTATTTCAAACTGAGAAGGTGGTTTTATTTCAATAAATTGTTGAGTAAAGGGCTTACAATGAGCCAAACCAAAATACAGTTAAAAAAGAAGTAGTCAAATGAAAATATACATATAAAAATAAATAAACTGGGAACTGAGAGAATGCAGTGGGTACTAACGAGGAGAAACAAATAAAAAACACAATGACACATTTTGGATGATGTGCTATGACATATTTGAATAGAAGTTGTAATATTTAAAATATTTAACTTGAAAAAATACACTTATTTAGATAAATTCATCTTCGGTGTACATTATATATTTTGGTTATCTGTTAGAGTATGCAAAAGTAACGGTTTAAAAATCTATCAATTTGTAATTTTGACCTTTTTTGCCATTCTGCAGATTGAAATAGAGAAAATATCCCTTTAAAACTTTGATGGGGTACCTTGTGAAACTTCAGCATGTGACAATATGAGGAAACAACTCAGTGTGACAAAGAGTTTATAGAATTACTTTCAGACAAACAAACGAACAAGAGCATTAAAATAACATACTTGTACTTTTACTCATTAAAGTGAGTAAAAGTTTACTTTTTACAGCAGGAGGGGGTCGTTTAAGGATGATGTGTGGAGGACAAGAGGGTTTTATTATTTTTATTTGATCAAATGTTCTCTATTATCCAAAGTCACATCATGGACATATGCTTTATTTATTATTCACTAAAGTAAATATAAGCTATGGATTCCAATTTCAGGTAAAATTGCTTAATTTGACCCCCAACTAATTTTTATGAACTCTTTAATTAATATTTGAACATGAAAAACAAAAAGATTGGTAATAATACAGGCAAACAGGGCAAACCAAACCAACAAAACTAATGTTAAAAACTAATGTTTCCTAATAGATTTTAAAACAACCTAGATTTATCATAATACAATGATGTCACAGTATGATTTTAAAAATAAATAAGTTTAGCCAATCCACATCTTCAAAACTTTTTTTTTTTTTATGTAGGTTTCAAGATTGCAGATATTATTGATGAACTAAAACTGCTTGGAACTAACATTTTCACAGAACATTGTGAGGGTTTTGGGAAAATAAATCAAAACGTTAAACAAAAGCACAGCTTTGCTACCAGCTTGGTGTAGCCCACCTGTCCCCATCTGAAGTATGAATTCTGTTTTCATATTTATGTCTTGATGTCTCTTGTTACCTTTGAAAAACCATACACTAAGGCTTTTCTGTAATGAATTAAATTAATATGAGTTGAATAACATTTTATCTCCATTTCAGTCAGGTTTTATTAAACATCATAGTACTGTTATAACAGTTCTTTAAGTTTTATGATTTTATAAAGGCTCTAGATTGAAAAAAAAATACTTTGTTGCACTGTTTATTGGCTTTTCCAAATCATATGGAACAGTTGATCATAGTCCACTGGTTAATATTCTAGAACACAATGGTTTATCAAAACACAGTTACTTGGTTTGTAAATTATTTGACCAACAGAACACAAGGTGTTCAGGTTGTAGGATCCACCTCTTCCTTCTTAGATGTTGTCAAAGGGATGCCCCAAGGAAGAGTTTCGGGACCAATTTTATTTTCTATTTACAGTAGTTTTTGGCTAATTCATGGTTCAACTTTCGTGGAATCGTTCTTTCATGGTTAATCTTACTCACGTGATTGGGACGGTACAGGATAAAAAGTTAACGGAAAAAATATTCGAACAGGCGCCGCCATTTTGTAGTTTTCATTCAATAAGACTACATTGTAACACCAGTCAAAAGAACTACACTACCGAGATGCCAGCAGTGCTTCTGGTTGCTGCTTTCTGACAAAATGGAGGGAAAAGTTTTGCAATACAAAGTCAGACGTAACAATCTCTCTAAGCTCACAGAACTGGCAGGAAAGTCACAAATAATCCTGAAGCTTCCTGAAGCTCAACTATCAACGCGCACATCAACCTGGATGGGGCGGAGGGCTTTGTCACTGCAGGGTGGGTCTGCTGAACCTAAACCGAGCCCGACCGGAACCAAGCTGCTGTTCTGCAGAGTTGGTGAACAAAATTGTGCAGTATTATACAGTATATATATACATATGTTGTTAAACTTACATAGATTTAGGAGTTTAGAACATTGCAAGAGTGTGGGAAGGATTCATAAAGCCTTAAAATAGATATAAATACTAAAATATAGTGTTCCTACTTCACGGTTTATAACCTATCGTGATGGTGTCTGGAACATAACCCCCATGATAATCAAGGGCTGTAAGGACGGTACTTTTCTGTGGCCCGGTTTGTGTCTGTTTTCCTCGTGCTTCCTCA